CGGGACAGAAGGAAGGCTCTACCTGAGGAAGAGCTGGAGATGGAGAAAATGCTGATGAGTCTGAGCGCATCTCTTTTTCTCCTCTTTGAGTCATCATAGTTCTCTTGAGTACAATTGATTAAAGTAGTGTTCAGGGACTGCTGAAGTTGTTGGGAGAGACGGTACCTCCCTTAAACCAACACTGGAATTACCTAATGGGGGACATAAATCTCCATTGTTTTTAAGGACAAGGTGCGCGCTACAGCTTGGGCCTGAGCTTTACTGCTCTTGTGTAAGTGTCAGGTGAACGACTCGAACAGGCAATTTTCCTCCCTTTGTGTGTACTATGCAATAAAAGTTAAGGTGTTCCTAAGAGAATTTTACATGTCTGCCTCAACAGAGTCTGTAGCTGTTCTTTAAACTTGAGAGAGGATCTAAAGCAGCCCTCAGTTTTCTGGTGGCCAGCTCACTCTGGGACTCCTTGCCTCTTAGACTGCAAGATTCTTAATAGAAAGTAGCATTTTGTGAGGAAGACCTCAGATCCAGAAAATATTAAGCGAGAACCAGTCTCTACATTACAAGCTTCCAGATGGTTTAAAGAATTTAGTTATTTATTAGAATACTATTGTTTTCATTCTTGTGAATTATTTGATACTTCTGTTTGTTTGTGCTCAACATGACACCTTTACTAGCCATAAGTCCTCAGAAACTGAAAATAGACAAAGAAGCTTAATTATCCCAAAGAATTCCTCTAGTCCTGTGCAGCTGCCAGCTGCCCGTAGAAATAAGGAATTGAAAACAACGTGTCCACTAGGTGCATCGGCTTCTCCTGCCCACCATATTGCCCAGAGTCAAAAGGCCCAGGTAAGAAGCAAGAATTGCAACCAGCCAGAATAAACCAAGTGTAAGACCTTATCAAGATGTGCGAATGAGAGGCATGCCAGGATGTGGACAGAGAAGGTGGCTACTTTTCAGAGCAGTGGTGAAAGGCAAGAATTGGGGGATGGGGATGTAGACTGGCCTTGAACTTCTAATCCTCCCAAGTGATGAGATTATAGGTATGCATCACCATGTTTGATGTATGCGGTACTGAGAATTAATACCAGGATGTCATGCATGCTCAACAAGCACTCTATAAACTGAGCTACATCTCCATCCCCCAATTCTTGCCTTAGAAAACTGATTTCTCAAAATTCAGTCCCCAGTTCACCAACCATGCAGCATCTCCAAGAAACACATAAGAAAGACTCAGTGGGGTGCCATCTACATGTTCTACCTTGAGAAGCACTGATGTAAAATCTACAGAGACCCACAGGCCAGGCTGTAAGCAACCTATGTACCGTACCTGGCCAGAGATGACCTGAGAAAATCCGAACTTCTCTGTGCCTCAGTTTCTCCACATTCATTATCTATAATCTCCCACAGGCATGTTGTGAGAATCAATACTCATTCAAGCACACATACATCGATGAAAACAAGAACTGTTATCAACTGTTACAAAACCTTATGTGGTTTTCATACCGATCCTCTGAAACAAGCAATATGTTTACCAAAATAGTAGAGGAAAATGGAGAAACTCACCCAAGATTGCGTGTGGGTCTTGAAAGAAAGGGAAGGTTCAAGTGGACAGAGGATTACGAAGTCCCCCGGACCCCAAGTCATCACCACCACATATCCTTCTAAAGATCTGCTCTCTCCCTAGCCTCTCTTTAGCTCCTAAACCCTTAAATATCCCCTAAGGACACCTGCCATACAGAAACCTTCAAGAATCTGTACCCCAGTTTGCCCTTTAATTCCCTGAAATTTATCTTCTATTAAGATGCATATTGTTTTTTACAGCTTCTCTTTCTAGTTATAGACTGTAAATTTTCCTTCTGCTGAGTCTTGGAACCGACTGACTGTTTTTCATTATATTTGTAAGGCTCAGGAAAAAAGGGGGGGAGGCCATTCCTTTATTGGAGAATTCTGACATTTATTAGCATAATAAAACTCTCAAGATGAAATTGCAGTTTTCCAGACAGTAATTTCATTTGCAGGACAACTTACAAGGAATTTATTTGAAAGCCAGGTAAAACCTAAAATATATGATACATGCAGAAAGTGCAGGCCCCAAATAAAATGAAATAAATGGGTTAGGGATGGAAAATTCAGCTGTTATCTCTCACATTTTAATTAGCAGTCGACAGGAACCACAGCCAGGACGTCAGGTTTGCAAGCCATCCTGGACTCCTTTCAAAAATGCTGTGGGAACTTTCTTCCAGTGCGGAGGAACTCATCCATGGAATCCCCTGACACAGCACTACTCTGGCAGGAAGCTGTCTCTGTGCAGTTGTGGACAGCAAGGTCTTTCATCTGGACAGAGGTGCCCTATTTATCACATACTTGATCAGCCAGGAAAAATTAATAATGACCACACACACAAAAAATTCCTTATCCCAGTTATACAGAGGTTCCGGGAGATCCTCCCAGTCATATGGAGGTTTAGTGAGATTCTCCCACTTACAAGGAGGGTCGGTGAGATTCAGTGACCTGAACAAGTTCACGTAGCTGGTACGTAGTAAAATCAGAACAAAAGCAGGTCTTCTGAGTGCTCGTAGGAATAACCTAATTGGGATAGAACTTGGCTATGGTTGGCAATACCATAGGATTCAGAAAGCAGGGTCCCTCCGCCATCATTTCATCTTGTTCACGCAGTGGTGCAGGCTGACTGGAGGGAAGCTATGGAGCTTTAATAACCTAAAATTGTTATTAATTAACAGACTGAGGATGCTTATGGCATCGCACGTGTGCCATCCCAGCAAACAGGAGGCAACCACAGGAAGATCAGGAATTCGGGACCAAACCTGAGCTACATAATAATTTCCAAACCTCTTAAGCTACCTGGTAAGACCCTGACTCAATCTACAAAAAATAAAAATGGATGTATGTATGGTAGGGACTTAACTTGGGTTCCCAAAAGGTAAAACCTAGGTGAACTACCTACTTGTCTCAGGGGTAGCATCCCAGAGAGGTAAAAGGCAGAGAATGAGAGGCAACAAGGGTGTCGGTGGACTTAGCTACTCCATATTGCATGACTGTCTCCTAAGAGACCACAGAACAGTTCCTCCAGGAGGATGAAGGAAAAAGATGTGCTTGACCAACATGAGGTTCACTGCAGCAACAGGAAGTAAATAAATTATACACTTCTTTTTTCCACTAAAAGGGTGAGGGGCTAAAAAGGGACCCAAGCATAGCGGTACACACTTATAATCCCAGCACATGGGAGGTGAAGACAGGAAAATCAGGAGTTCAACATAGTGAGTTTAGGTCATGATGCATCCATCCCATGAGATCCTATCTCCCCAAAAATAAAAACAAACACAAGGCACAAGGGTGGTGAAGAACAACCGGAGTAATTAGATTGAGATGTTCTAAATTCACTGATGAATTGGGCTTTCTTGCTTAAAAATTCAATCTCAAGGGGCTGGAGAGATGGCTCAGTGGTTAAGAGCATTGCCTGCTCTTCCAAAGGTCCTGAGTTCAATTCCCGGCAACCACATGGTGGCTCACAACCATCTGTAAAGAGGTCTGGTGCCCTCTTCTGGCTGCAGACATGCACACAGACAGAATATTATATACATAATAAATAAATATTTTGAAAAAAAAATTCAATCTCAATCTCAATCAAGTCAAGAAATATGAAATAGAGTCAATACAAAAATAACAGCAGGACACAATAAGACAAGTACAGAACACAGTTCTGTTTGTTTGTTTTTTGAGACAGGGTTTCTCAGTGTAGCTTTGGAGCCTGTCCTGGCACTAGCTCTTGCAGACCAGGCTGGTCTTGAACTCACAGAGATCCTCCTGCCTCTGCCTCCTAAGTGCCAGGATTAAAGGCATGCGCCACCACCACCCGGCCAGAACACAGGTTATTTTGCAGAATTGCCTGATGTATACAACAAATCAGGGGTCGAGTAAAGGACAATATTATCTGAGACATAAGAGAATACCAGATGTTACATGTAATTCTTGTCCAGATTCTAACAGATGAACTATAAAGGATGCTTTCTGGTCCTAAACCTTACTGAAGAAGTATTGGTAGTTGACAGTTTCAGGGGAAGACAGTCACTCCTCTTTGAAGACGTGGTCCTAGTAAGATTTCCACAATGCAGTGAAAGGCCATACCCATGCACATATGGGCAGCACTAATTGCACTTAGTGAGTTATATTTCATAAATACACGATATCGGGAGTATACTGGGGTGATACCGTGGGGAGGAGGGGGACAGGGGACAGTCGATGTTATCATTTTTTTCATTGCATAGATGTATGAGATTCTCAAGAATAAAGAAAAACTGTTTAAAAGACAAATAAATAAAGGTTCCCTAAAAACCAAGTGTGGCATTAACGGATGTACACACGAGGCTGAAGAACACAGCGAATGAGCAAACGCAGAATCGGTCATCGAAACTGACTGCAACGATAGCCACGGAGGTGGGTGATGGCACGAGTGGCCAAAGAGGAGCAAAATGGCAGGGCCAAGAGATTGGGGAGAGAACGGTGGAGAATGAGAGATGCCTGGCACAGCTCTCAAAGCAGGAGAAACAGTTCCTTGGTATTTCCAGAGTCCATCTATCCTTTAGCTGCAACACAAACCCAGTGCTCCATGCATTATGGTATCAGTAAATCTTGCAGGGTGCCGCATTAGGACCCACGCCTTGCAGATTTCTGAGCCTGCAGTTCTGCTGTCGCATCTGCTATCTCCTTGCCTGTGGCTGGAAGGGAACAACATGATTATGCCCAAATTAGATACCATCCGTGAGAGTTATTGAGTTATTGGGAGTGTACTCTCGATTGATATGAAGAACATTTTCAGGTTAAAAAGACAGAAGAATTAAAGTGAAAACAGAGTTAAGTCTTTACGTGAGAGCATCCTAGACAGCAAAGGCCTCATCAAGTACCTGAAATCCATCCTTGGATTTATAATCTATCCCAGATCTTGTGCATAGTCACACGAAATCATTACCATGATATTGCAAAACAGGAGCTGAGATATGAGAAAAGGTAGAAGCGGTTAAACAAGGAAGACAGCACAGAGTCAGTCTCCTATTCTGAATGCCGAGCTTAGAAACTTTAGGTAATTCTCGTGATAGTATCAACAAGCTCATGAACACTAGGAAAGATGCAACATCCATGTCTCCCATGTAAGTTAGTCACACACCTGCTTGTGATCTCAGTGACTTTATGAAGTGGTAGAGGAAATAATTTGCTAGAAACCATTGCACACTGGTGTTGGGAGTTTTTTCAGAATGGCATTCACTCAGCAAATACTTATTGGGTGTTGACTCTATATGAATTGTAAGGTTCGGCACTGGATTGCTTTGGGTTATGAAACATGATCCATTCAGTCTAGGAGTTCGGCTTAGAACAGCCATGACAGACAGGCCTCAGGGAGCATCCGTTATTTAGGGTTTTTGTCTCGAGCTTTGAAATGGGGCCAGTCTCACAAATGCAGTCACATTTTGGAGGTCACATTCTGGAGACTCCCTGTTACCATTGTTCATCTGAAGAATGATGGATCTTCTAGAGGACCATGAGGCTTTGAGTTGGGATATTCTTAAGCTCAGTTCAAAATCGGGATACTCAAAGGAGTCCAAAGAGGAGGAAAACCATCATCATTCAAACAGCAGGTGATAATCTGGTGGGCTATCCCTCTGTCCGCAGGGCTCCTGCAGCAACTCTCCCCCTGAGACAGTGATGATTTCCTCCTAAAGGGGAAAAAGAAGAAAGGGAATCCAATTAGGATCAAGAAGAGATATAACTACTCATGGAGAATCAGCTAGTGAACTGGAGACACAAAGACTAAGGCCAGCCATGCATCTAGCTCCCCTCACTCAACTTCCCAGAAATAAAAGGAAAAATCTTTTAAGAAGAAATGCGTCAGTGCTATAAAACAAGGAAGAGCACCAAAAAGTAAAATTCTGAAATGATTGTTGAAAACCAAATTGTCTAAGAAATGCAAGCTGTGAGCAGATTGGTAACACAGCCCCCAGTTAATGTTTGCCCCATTCTTGGTGAAACTAGAGAGACTCAAAATACAGACATTTCCATACCCTTGAAAGGGCTACTCATTGTTGGCCCCAAGCCTATACCAGAAGACACTAGATTTGGGAAAGAGAAATTGTCTACTCACTGATAAACCTAAGATTGAACATTGGAAGCCTGTCTTATTCTTGAAGCATTTAAGGACCATCTCAAGCATAGCAGAAAAAATGCTAAACTCAATAGTTCAACAGACATCTAAGAAAGTTTATGAAGGAAACAAGTTTATAAAGGAAACGTAGAGATGCTTTAAAGGATCTACAATATCTTTTGCAACAGAATAAGTCATCCAGGAAACAAGAGTGGGCTGTTGTAAGAAAAAAAAATGAGCATGCAATTGAAAACCATGGCTGCTTAAAGTAAAAATATTCTCAGCAGAAGAGATGTAACTAAAGAGCAATTTGGTAGACACAGGAATTATAACACCAAGAGAAAGATGCTCAAAATAGAAAATGGACTGTGAGTAAGAAAAGATAATTTACAAGTAACTAACTGGAAGTAGCCTTGAAGTCTATGAAAAGACACCTCAGCGTCAGTGGCCACGAGAGAAATGCATGCTGGGCAAAACTGAGCTCCAGTGTCTGTCCATGTGATGGGAAAAACAGTCTTCTATAGCTCTTGCAGAACACGAATCGGTGTCATGTTTTTATATGGCAATCTGGCAGGTCTTCTGTAATTAAAACGTGCATACTTTTCTTTCCAGCAATTTCAGTTCAAGGAACTGATCCTGAAAAATCGCGCATATGTATCCATAGTGACAAAGTGGCATGTACGTCTCGGAAACACTGCTCATGACCATGAAACTGGAAGGTGGAGAGATTGGCACAAGAGGAGAATAAGCCATTAAGCTGTACTCTGCACCCATACCAGCAATCCCTGGAGCAGTGACAAGTCCCGGTACACAGACTAACGTGGAAAGATCTGCCAGACATAATTTTGAGACAGGTTCTCAGGAGTCCCAGGCTGGCCTTAAACTCACTATGTAGGTAATGGTGACCTTGAATATTTTATCCTCCTTTCTCTCCCTCTTGAATGCTGAGATCACAGACTCACTTACACACCTACACACCCAGTTTATGCAGTGCAGGGGATCAGACCCAGGACTTTATGCTAGAAAAGTGCTTTAATAACTGACCTTCACTGCCAACCCCTCTAACTACATTTTAATAACGGATAGCACCTCTTGATGATGTTATAATATTTTTTTGTCACTCTACACAATGATATCTCACTGACATCTCACAGGGATGTCACGGAATCCACCCTACTAAAGAGGAAACTGAGTCACAAAAGTCTGAGTGGTAACCCAAAGCCATGCATAACAATGACGTTAGGATTTAAACTCAACATTATGGCTCTGGGGACCATGTCTTTAAAACCTACCTTCTTCAGTTTCTTAAATATGGGGTTGGAGGTTAAATTGCTGGGTTGCATGCTACTAGTTACGAAACTACTAGCCAAGCATGGTGGCACATGCCTTTAATCCCAGCACTCGGGAGGTGAAAGCAGATGGATCTCTTTGGGTTTGAGGCCAACTTGGTCTACAAAGCGAGTTCCAGGACAGCCAGTTAGTTATACAGAGAAACCCTATCTCGAAAAAAAAATCATAAAGCTATGTATTTTCTTATGTGAATAAATTTTATTATCACTGCCCATCAAATAGCACATGGCACACTAGTATTTCAAGGCAAAGCATGGAATTGGGGGCTTGAAATGAATGAGGCTGACATATTAATGTAACCATGAACTAGAGATGTAATTAAAATTTAATATATCGCTGGGTGGTGGTGGCACACGCTTTTAATCCCAGGACTCAGGAGGCAGAGGCAGGTGGATCTCTTTGAGTTCAAGGCCAGCCTGGTCTACAAGAGCTAGTTCCAGGACAGGCTCCAAAGCTACAGAGAAAAATAAAAGCAAAAAGCAAAACAAAACAAAAAAATTTAATTTATCAAAACTGACCACCAGATCTCCATATGGGCCTAGATGATATCTCTGTATAGGGCTAGAAGTAAAATTGTTGATCTCCATCATTTAAATTTGAAATAAATAAAGCTCTTGTGAGACATCTGGTCTGGCCTTTTTGTGTAGAATCTGCCGGGAGAGCTGGGCACTGACTTTGATTGAAACACTGATGGAGACAAGGAGCCACAGCTGATGAAGTAGCTTATTTTGAATAGGAAAACAAACAAACAAACAGAAACTGGGGCTCAGTGGGAAGCACAAGCCGAAGAGGAAGGCAGCCTGAGGTTTAACTCTTGATTGCAGCTGGTACCAGCCATGAGAACTTAGCCAAGAGTGCCTCGGCCTCCCAGATCTTGATTTCCTGGTCTATGAAGAGGGCTAAGGTACTCATTAACATGGGGGTAACAGTGATTATGAGGGCATGCATGCTTGACTCCGAACAGTGTTACTAGAATCCACACACTCCCTTCCTTCACTTTATGCTGACTGTTAGGTGGTCTTTCCAAACACAAGTAGAAATCCACTCTGATCAAGTCTAGTTCCACAGTAGTGCTCTGAGCCCAGCTGTAGATGAATGAACCTTCTATCTCTCTTGCATTCCTCTCTCTCTCTCTCTCTCTCTCTCTCTCTCTCTCTCTCTCTCTCTCTCTCTCTCTCTCTCTCTCTCTC